GCAAGGACAGTGAGAAGGACGCTCCGGTTCTGCCCAGGGCCTGGGTTCTCTGATTCTCAATTCCGCCCTTTTCTCCAGGTACCCAGTCCTGACTCTCATTTCCTTCTCTACTCTTGATACTTCCTCGAAAAGGAGCTTAGAAGGGAGTGTGCCTCTCCCAGCAGCAGGTCCCTAAGATGTAGGAAAAGTGCCAAGGAAGGTGAAGCGTTGCGAATACCCTGCATTTTTTTTTAAAATTATGTAAGTATGATAACACATTTACAGGAGACGTGAGAAATACAGAATAGAGTTACATTCAGTTCCACTATAAAAATTATTTTTAAAGTAGATAAATTAAGATTTTTACTTGGAGTTTCAATATCAAAAAGTAAATAAATTAAGATTTTTTTGGTTGGAATTTCAGTATCAAACTCTCAACAAATAATAGAATAGGCAGAAAAGTAGAAGGATATAGTAGACCTGAATAGCACTATGAACCAATTCAACATAATTAAGATTTATACGATTTTCACACAACAGCAGGATGCAAAGAGAATACCCTGCATTTTTACTTTGCTTAATTGGATTAGTTTTGAACTACGGTATAGTTTGCTCACAGCCACTTGCAGAGAAAACCTAAGACTTTTCTCTAACTGAATTTCTTCAAGTCATCAACATATCCTGACATAGAACAATACTTGTGAAATATTAAGTGAAAAAAATAAGCAAGTCGCAGAACCAAGTATATAACCTAATGCCCTCTTTGGGAGACATTTTTTCTCTCTCTCTACCGCTAGACTGATATCTGGAAAGAAAAATAATGATCAACTTGATCATTTGGGAATGGAGAAGAAACTTGCACTTTTATGTGATTCATGTCTATATTGTTTAAGACTTTAAGTGTATCTGTGCAATATCTGTTAGTATATCTTCCTGGGCTTTCATTTCCTCCTCTCTAAAGGATTGAGGGTAGAACTTCCTGGTGGCCCTGTGATTAAGACTGCACTTCTACTTGGTCGGGAACTAAGATCCCACATGACTAAGATCTCTCCAAAAAATGGATGGAGGATGAACTACAAGGTCAGTTATACATATAAATGTACAGGGTTTGTATATATCTGACTCTCTGCTAATCTCTGTGACAAAACAAGGACTATAACATACAAGCACTGCCCTCAGAAGTGGAGAAAGAGGGTGGGCAGGGAGTGGGGGTGAGTGATCCTGGGAGCAGCAAATGTGAGCCAAGAAATGTCCCCACTTAGGGGAGGATATGATGGGTTCAAAAGTCAATGGAGGGTCTCCTGTTTGCAGCACAGTTCAACTCAGAGTGACAAGAGCAAGATAATTTGACTGGTGGCATGGAGCAAGCTGAAATAGAGTTTGACTGCCAGGCTTAAACATTTTATTTCTATTTTGAAGGCAATTTGTGAGTGAGGAAGAGGCAGTGAAGTTTTTTTTTTGTTTGTTTGTTTGCTTGTTTGTTTTTAAAGGGGAAACAATAAAAGCCTTCTATTTTGTTCCTTTTCCTCTTTCCTATGGTTTCCTTGTTACCAGATGGGACCGTCTCATACTGCCTTGGAATATTGAAATTTCGGATGAAACCAGTCAAATGGCCAGGCCTGCAAGAAACGTACAACACCATCCTTCTTTCCTGGAGGCAAAGTACACAGTGAGTCCACCATAAAGTGGAAGGATCCTCTGTGTAGGGAACAGTGCCCTGCCAAGGTCAAGACTATCAACCTTGTAACCGTGTTGATTGTCAGCCTCGCAGAATGAATCCGACTGAGTAGGAAGGTGTGAACCTTCCCTCCTGAAGATTCATTTTAGAGTAAAGGATGAATTCCTTCTCACTTGGAAGGTCTTTGTTTGCTACTCTCTCCAGCTTGAAATAAGTGCTTTTGATAGTTAAAGTCGTAGGCCAGAATATTTTATAAACTACAGAAGGGCTTTGTAAATGTTGACACTTGGATTTACTTAAATCTTCTGTCACTTGGAATGGTTCCCAATATGAAAAAGGTATTTTAGACTGAAAAACAAATTCTGGCTGGATACAGAACTATAGTATCTATATACTCTCACACATGAAACCATCAGTGTTAATTCCAATTGTCTTCAATTCCTCTCCATGTATTCTCTCCTGAAGCCTCTGCAGTCAAGAGTTTTGCCTTGACTATTCTAGCACAGATCTTGTCAAGATCACCAATATCTTCCATGTTTTTGTTTTTTTTTTTAAGTCACTCAGTCGTGTCTGACTCTTTGCGACCCCATGGACTATACAGTCCATGGAATTCTCCAGGCCAGAATACTGGAGTGGGCAGCTTTTCCTTCTCCAGGGGATCTTCCGAACCCAGGTCTCTCACATTGCGGGTGGATTCTTCACCAGCTGAGCCACAAGGGAAGAATACTGGAATGAGTAGCCTATCCCTTCTCCAGGGAATCTTCCTGACCCAGGAATCGAACCAGGGTCTCCTGCATTGCAGGCCAATTCTTTACCAACTGAGCTATGAGGGAAGCCCTATCTTCCATGTAGCTAAACCTTTAAGTCATTTCTCAGACCCTATCTAAATTGACTTATCAACAGTATTCAACATATGTGAGTGCTTATTACTTCCATGAACCCCTGCCCCGTCTAACTTTGAGGATTCCATATTCTCTGGATTGTTTTCTCCCTCACCAGTCATTCTTTCTGCTTTGCCAGTTTCTCTTTGAACCACACACCACTAGATGTTAAAATACCTAGAGCTCGAACTCTCCCTTTTCTCTGCTTTTCCATTCTCCACTCTGGGTTAGCTCATCCATTTCAGTACTTAAATTATACCAGTATTTTATATATATATATATATATATATATATATACACACATATACACACACACACATATATACATATCTGGGGGTATATGTATCTATATGTATATATATTACCCCAGTCTGAACCTCCTCTCTAAACCCCAGTGTAACATCTCCACTTAGACATCTAATCGGCATCAAACAAACACATCCCAACATGCTTCCAAATCTGCTTCTCTTGAGTTCTCTCTGATTTTGGTAAAGGTCAACATCATCTTTCCAAGTATTAAACCAAAGCCTTGGGGTCAGCCTGGATTCCTTTTGTTGTTGGTACTCTCCTCATCCAATCCAACAGCAAATCCTATTGGTTCAAATCTGAGAACACACCCAAAGTCCCTGGCTTGTCACCAGCTGCCTTTCTGTCATCTAATCTGAAACATCATCTCACATCAGATTATATCACTCTGTCCTCAAAATTCTCCAATGGCTTCTGGTTTCAGGTAACTTGTAACTCCCACCGCCAAAAAGAATTTTAATCCCTTGCCTGTTACTTTACTGATCTCCTCTCTTATTTATCCCCTTGATAAGTCCATCCCGTGTCCCACCAGCCTCTTTACTGCTCTCTAAACCTCCAGGTATGCTCCTGTTTTAGACTGTGTGTTTTCCCCTCTGTCTGGAATTCTTTTTTTCATCTCTTTATGACTTCTTTTCTCATTTTCTTTGAGTCTTTGCTCAAATACTCTTTGCAATAAAGCCTTTCCTGATTATTCTGTCTAAACTTGCAACTCTTTCCATCCTGTCACATGGCCATATTTTATGTTTCTTCATAGCATTTATTATTATCTGACCTTATATTTCTATTGATTTGTTTATACTGTGTCCTCCATGAGAAGATAAATTCTATTAGGGCAAAGTCTTTGTCTTGTTCAGCCCCATGTTCCAGAATCTTACACAAAGAAGGTGCTTGATAAATATTTGATGAAGTAATAAATCCAGGATGACTGTCACACAGATGCTTAGGGCATGTATTCACATTAATATATGAAAGTATATTATTTACTAATATGCCTTTTTATCTAGCAGTATATGACTATCTTGACTTTTTTTTGGTCTTGTTCTATTATTAATGCCATCAAAATCCTAGTCACTAATAGATTTTACTCCCTCCTTTAGAAAAGTTGGTACAATATGCCAGGTTGACTAATAATCAGATTGTTATAGTCCTGTGCTGACTTTCTTTTACCCTTTTTTACAGGCACTTTATATGCATAACTATACTTCTCTGATAGAAAAGAAGACATTGTGGCCATTTGAGATCTGAGAATATCTGAAATATTCTGAATATCTGAAATCCAAGGATTTCAGTCACTATTAAAGGAAAACAACGGTAGGTAGGGGGAAAAGGAAGCAAAAGATAAAGGACCCTGGAGGCTTGCCTCCAATGGATACTGCTCCAGCACCTTCTCTGTTTAGTTTTCTGTGTTAATATCAGGTCAGGACATGTGCTCTGAAGAAAAATAAGGCAGGGCTAGAAGGCAGAGGGTGGAGAGAGCTGCTGTTAAGACAGAGGGGTCTGGGAACGTTTTCTGCAGAGGTGACCATTTAAGCAGAGATCAGATTGTGATAAAATGAAGAAGATGCTGCTACAAACACTTCCCACCAGTGGATGAGCATTTCTGTCGTTAATAGTAAAGATGAAACCATGTGCAATATGGTTTAAATACATTTATATTCAGCTTTTACGAAAGCAATCAATTTGGGATACTTTTATTTTAAATAGCCTGCCTGAATTTGAGCATGAAAACTAGTAAAAACAAAATTGGCTTAAGACACTTAGCCACTGACCTTCCTCCAAGTCAGCACAATGACTAGAACAATCTGAATATCAGTCAACCTAGCATATTGTACCAACTTTTCTATTTTCCAAAGGAGGGAGTAATATCTTTAGTGCCTAGGATTTTGATAGCATTAATAATAGAATGAGACCAAAAGAAAAGTCAAGACATAGTTATATACTGTTAGATAAAAAGGCATATTCATAAATAATATACGTTCATATATTAGTGTATGAATAGATGCGTTAAGCATGTGGATGTCTGTGTATAACTGATAAAAGGATGGATTATAAACACATATCAGATTCATCTGAGCAAAGCCTAAAGAATCTGTACTGGAATGCTTCCGATAAAGGAGGAGGTTGGTAAGTTTGACTCATATTCTCTTAACAATGCAAAGTGTTCAAAATTAAATTGTTTATTTGTTTGCATTTCTCTCAGGCAGTCTAACATCTTGGACTGTCAGATACATAACATAATACTTCTTCCATTTTTCAAGTGATAAATGGTGTGGTGAGGCTTTGCATGCTTCAGATGGGTTGTAGTTCTGGTGACGTCACATCAGGAGGCCACTTGGAATCTCTTTCTTAGAGTCAGTGTTGTCCTCTGAAAAGATTTGGGTGGATACTGTGAACCTGAAACACCAAGCAAAATTCTCATTCTGATGTTTTTACAAACCCCAGCTCTCAAAAGGACCATGTTTGTATGTTCCATGCAGATGATATATATTTTTTAATTAAAAAAACCCTGTAATGTCATATGGAGAAACTGCCAGCTGGGGTGCTGATAAGAAGGAGGGGTGCTCCTCTTAACCAGGCCTGGGTCCCAGAGAACTCTCTCAGCTGCCTTAAGAAGTCCTTCCCACTATTGGCCTCTCAGTTTCTCATTTCTTTTTTTCCTTTTTTCCTGCTACAGAACAAATGTTGGTAAGTTTATAGCCCCTGCTGCTTTTGGACCTGGGAGCAAAGGTAAGCAGAAACCACATGCCTGCTCGTCAGAGAGTAAATACATCATTAGAAATACAGGATCATCTCTCTTATGTACCTTTCGTTGCTTAAAAAAAAATCATATTACTACTTTATTTTACTTTAATTTTATTTTGGCTGTGCCTTGTATTAGTTGCAGGATCTGGAATCTAGTTCCCTGACCAGGGATCGATCCTGGTCCCCCTGCATTGGGAGCATGGAGCTTAGCCAGTGGACCACCAGGCAAGCCTCCCTTCCATCACTTCTATAGACATGAAAGAGGGCTCCAACCAGCAATAATAATAGTTGTCAGAAAGTTATTGATAAGAGAATACAGTAACTTAGTATTTGGTGAAAAAGTAAGAGTGTAGATTTTAAACAAATTCAGAGCTCTGTTTCCTCTTCCTAACCTCTCTTCCTGTGTGCTATTCCACTTTTCCACTTAGCACACTTCGGTCAACATCTCCAAAATCAAATTCATTCAAAACTCCTCAGGCACCGCTGTCTCCTGGCCATCTGCAGAGATCACATTTATCAATCCTCACTCTCCTGTCTCTCAAGTACCAAGGCTGCTGTTTACAGAAATAACTACTGTCACTTAAAATGACAGCAAACACTGCTGGGGAACGTATAAGGAAAACAGCAACAAAAAGGCCTGGCAGCTTAGAGGAAATTTCAAAAGAATAAAGAATCTTTGACATCACTATGCTGGGCTGATGTAAACAGTGATAAGCCTAGATTGTCCCAATGCTTGAATTATACTAGATTTATTTTTAAATGACACTACATTAAGTATGTCCCTTAAAACAGCAAATTATCCTCTACATTTCAGATTATTTATAATACAAATGGTTCATAATTTTTGAGCAAACAATGTACCCCTGACATCTGGCTAGGTCCTTTCCATCTGTTTTTCCAATAATTACTCTATCTAGTCTATTATAAAAGAACTAAGATCCAGAGAGGTTGTTGTTGTCTTTGTTTAGCTGCTAAATCATGTCTGACTCTCTTGTGACCCCATGGACTGTAGCCCACCAGGTTCCTCTGTCCATGGGATTTCCCAGGTAAGAATACTGGTGTGGGTTGCCATTTCTTCCTCCCAAAGATCTTCCCGACCCAGGAATCGAACCTGCCTCTCTTGCATCTCCTGCATGGCAGGTAGATCCTTTATCACTGAGCCACCAAGGAAGCCCCTTAGGAGAGAGGTTGAGGCTCTCCTAAAGTACTCAGCCAATAGTTACTAGAGTTAGGCCTTTGATTCCAGAGTGACACAGCTCATGACAACGCTATGTGGTGGTGGTTTACTCACTGAGTTGTGTCAGACACTTTGCAACCCCATGGACTGTAGCCCACCAGGCTCCTCTGTCCATGCGATTTTCCAGGCAAGGGTACTGGAGTGGGCTGCCATATCCCTTTTCCAGAGGACAATGCTATGTTACCGCCTTAAATAAAAATGCTGATAATGGTTTTGGAAATTAAAACATCATTGGCCTGAGTTCAGTCTAGAAACTTCATTCTTTAAATGGCATACTAGCTGAGAATAAGTATTTATCTGTAAAACTCTACATCATAAAATAACTGGAATATTTGTATTATTAGTTTTGTGAAGCATTTTTATAATTAGATCTTCACAGAGAATCTAAAAGCAGAGTTTCATTTAGAAGAAAAGTGTAGAAACTCTACAACAGAGAAAGACATTGATTTCTCATAAGACAGCATTTTCTTTTTTACGTGGGTGAGGCCCTAAGTTATTCAGAACCTTTGGGCATTTTCTCCTTTCAGATTATGAAAATTAATAAAAGGAAACCTCAGCCAAAGTTAGGGTCAGAAGGCCAGTAGAGGGAGCTCTCGTGGCCTGCTTACCACTCACCTTCAAAAAATCCCAACAGGAAGACAGCTGGTAAAGAATCTGCCTGCAATGCGGGAGACCTGGGTCTTTTCCCTGAGTTGGTAAGATTCCCCGGGAGAAGGGCATGGCACCCCACTCCTGGAGAACCCCACAGACAGAGGAGACTGGTGGGCTACAGTCCTTGGAGTCGCAAAGAGTCGGACACGACTGAGTGACTAAGCAGAGCACAACAGAAAGAAACTATCTTGGTCTCCCAAAGAAGCAGCCCAGCCACATTCTTATCCCAGCCGGAGAAGGGACGACTTCCTTGTTGCCTAGCAACAAGCCCAGCCAATGGGAAACCCAGCAGCTCAGCCAATGAGAAGCCATCATCACTTAAACCTTTCCTTTCCTCCAATGAACTTTCCTTTTATCTTTGCTTACGACCTCCTTTCCTTGTCCTGCCTCCCTTTTACATAAGCTGTCCATGCTCTGCAACTCCTCAGAGTATCTATTTGCCAGATGAGATGCTGCTGGATTCATGAACTGTTTAAAAAAAACCCAGTTAGATCTTCAAATGTACTCAGAAGATTTTTGTTATTTTAACAGTAGAGAAGTGCTTGTCTTTGTATTTTGCTCTTTTTAAAAATTCCTGAGATACAACCAAAGACTACAAACACTTGGTCAAAATTGTCCTCTCAAGGTAGATAATCTTGAAAACTTGAAACTTCATATACGACGTCATTTTGTTTGTATATGGAAAACACTGACCTGTTAAAAAGCCTTGACCTGTCCACATGTGCCCAGCAAATTCCATCAGTGTCAATGAACCTTTTCGAGGTGTATCTGACTGTTAGAAGAAAAATAAAATGAAGGATGAGTGTTATTGTTTCGAATATTTTTAAGAATCAGAGTCATGGTTAACAGAGAACCTACCCGAAATGTATGGGTGGTGCTGGGCCTTGAAAACTGTTCCATCGTTAGAGATCTTTCTCGAAGAGGTGACCGTTCTACACCATCAGGTAATGCACTCAACCCATGGTTTTGTAGCTGTCTTCCTCTGAGCTAAATAAAGGATAATACATTCTTGTTAAAACAAATGCAGTTCTTAAAAAGACAAAAGAAAATCTGTATATGCTTCAATCAGTCTCTCATCTATTCATTCTTTCACTTATTTGAAAAACTTTTATTTAGATCTTGCTAAGTATAAGGTCTACTAAACACAAATATCAAAATATACTTTAATTGTGTAACTAACTGTATCTTTTAATCTGATAAAGCCCTAATAAGTAAATATGCATTCAAACATTAACCACATACAATTCTTAATATTATGATAGAAATGTTATTCTGCATTTGTGAAGCATGACTTTTTAAAAATGTGATGTTTGACTACTTTTATGATTCCACTCTAAGGCACAATATTCTAGGGTTAAATATTAAAGCTTTGCAACTCTTGCTTTCTGGGAATGAGTTTTATTGCTGTGCCCAAGGAGGCAGAGGGAATGTGAGAGAAAACACTGCCTCAGTTGGTTTTTCTCTCTCTAGGCTTTATGTTCCCATGGTTGGGATTCTTCTACATTTCATCAAAGAGAAACAAGTTAGGGACTTCTTTGGCTGTCCAATGGTTAAGGCTCCACACTTCCAATACAGAGGGTGTGGGTTCAATGCCTGGTCAGGGAACTAAGATTCTATATGCTACATGGCCAAAAATAAATAGTCACTTATATTGGAGTGCAGTGAGCAGTCAGTATAAATCTGGGGGAAATCTGATTATACTTCCTACCAGCAGCATGGCTTCCTCAGGCTTTCTGTAATTGCTTGGCTGAACTGAGCTTGGGTGAGGAAGATAGTGCCTCTATCCTGCAGTGAACATGGTAAAGATTAGCTATAAAAATGAGAGTTTAGGGCTTCTCTGGTAGTCCATGGTTAAGGACTTGGCATTTTCTCTGCCATGGCCAGGGTTCAATCCCTGGTCAGGGAACTAAGATCCCTGATGCCATGTGGCAGGGCCAAAAAAAAAAAAAGGAAAGAGAACTAGTAAAAATGGCAGAGTATTTTACTGTGCTTTTAATCTATGCCAGGCATTATTTAACATCTACAACTTCATTTAATCCTTATAGCAATTCTTTGAGGTGGGAATCATTATTGCCCTTTTATAAATAAGAAAATTAAGGGAGATTAATTTGTACGAAATCATACAGAGAGTTTGTGTGACAGGCTTCAAACACTGATCTACCTGTCCATGGGGTTCTCCAGGCAAGAATATTGGAGTGGGTTGCCATGTCCTTCTCCAGCGGATTTTCCCAACCCAGGGATCGCACTCAGGTCTCCTGCATTGTAGGCAGATTCTTTACCGTCTGAGCTCCCAGGGAAGCCGCTCCTGACCTAACCTTCACACTGTTTTTCCTAACTACACCATCCTGACCATCAGATATTTCCTTGACACCTGGACTCTCTGATTTAACTCAGGCCATGTTTGTATTTCACAAAATATTGAATCAACCCTCCAATCTCCTGTAAATTCTCACAAGCCACTGACTTTCAGGAAGCAGATCAGGGAGATGTTTTATGCTACTGAGCTCTTGTGAAAGTGTTCCAATTATGCTTGCTTGCTTTCCAACAAACAGTGAAAACAGTGCACTTGAGAATTAAGAAATTTGTCTCACGGAAACAGGGCGCGATCCAGGACCTGCCACGTGGTGCTCTCCAGTCTCTGAGCCTATTGGGGGCAACCTACTCCGTGAGGTTTGAGTAGATGGGGAACCCATACGGTCCACGCCAGTTTGCCTGTAAACACAACAACGTCACCTGAGCAGGGGCAGAGAGACGAAAGACTTTTCCACAGAGCTCTTTACCTGAGCTGTTGGTCACAGCCTGCCTCCAACGCCTAGCAGAACGAGCTGAGTTTCCTGAAGATGAATGTGGGTGGGGGACTGAACCCCAGCTCCAATCACTCCTGTGTTTAGCAAGGACTACCAGCCTGTGTTAATCAGTGCTCAGCCTTGCGCAGAACACACACGTCTCTGAAGGTCTAGTTCCTCCCCTTAAGGAGATTTGTTGTTGTTTGGTCTCTAAGTTAGTCCAACCTTTTGCGACCCCGTGGACTGTAGCCCACCAGGCTCCTCTGTCCGTAGGCTTTCCCAGGCAAGAATAATGGAGTGGGTTGCCATTTCCTCCCCAGGGGATCTTCTGGACTCTGGGATTGAACCTGCATCTCCTGCCTCGGCAGGAGGATTCTTTACCACTGGGGAAACCCTCAGGGAGATTACAAATCATTGAAAACAAGGTGACGACACATTAAGTAATTAGATTACAAGGCAATGCAGTTGCTATAGTGATATGTCCAGTATCTGGCTCTTACTTCAACTGCTATAGAAATTTAGGGAATAGAGCAATCGATGCAGGATAAAATTAATTCTACTGTGCAGGGCTCAGGTGAGGAAAACCACAAAATTTTATGTAAGGTCATAAAATCAAGAGGCAAAATAATGTTCTTTGATGGGAAAACTAAATATTGTGAAAATGTCAATTATTTATTCCTACATTTTAAATAGATTTAATGCTATGAGGTCCGATGTGATACTTTTTAAAAAATTTGACAACCAGATTGTAAAATTTATCAGGATGGATTAGAAATTTTAATAAAAGAAGAATAAGGATGATAAGACACCTTCCTTACCAGATAAGAACATTGAAAAATTAAATGATCCAACTCATGCACAAGAATAGAGATGGATACTCTAGAAATGAATTCTAATTCATTTTTTGTTTATTCACTAATCATAAACTTATGAAAATTAAAATATGACAGGTTTTGATCCATCAGGTTTTAAAATACACATACTACCTAAAGTTTACAGGCTGTAAGGAAAGAGTCTTGTCTGTTGTCAGGGGATCTATAAAACTTGGTAGAACCATTTTTAGAACTTTGAAAACATTTCAAGAGCCTTAAAAATATCCACAACCTTTGACCTGGTAGCTTTACTTCTAGGACTCACCACCAGGAAACAATTTTAAGACACCCTAAGATTTATGTAAGATAATATTCACTGCATATTATAATAGTGAAAATATACAAGAAATGAAATTTTCCAGTAACAGGGCAACACATATACCCACATAATTATATTTTAGTCATTAAAATCATGCTTTCAAAAATATGTAATAACATGGAAAACATGAATAATGTTTAAGTGAAAAAGTGTATGAAAAAATGCTACACTACAGGACTTCCCTAGTGGTCCAGTGGTTAAGAATCTGCTTGCAGATGCCGTTTCGATCTTTGGTTGGGGACCTACTGATAAGATCCCATGTGCCACAATGTAACATCTTGTGTGTAGTGACTAAAGACACAAAGCAGCCAAAAATACATTTAAAAAAGCACTAGCTGTTCTGGGAAGGTCAAAGCAATCAACAAGACACTAGCTATTAACCTAAATATTGCCTGACACTTGGGTGACTGAGAAAACTATTCCTCTGTAATTCTACAATTAAAGGAAGCGACAAATGCCTTTTTAATAAGGCAATGATTTGATGTTGATCCCTAAGGCCAAAAAATGTTCTGAAATTCCCTACACAGAGTGAATCTTGTCCTTAGAGATAAATAAAACTAATAGGTATGTTGTTGTTGAGTCTTTAAGTTGTGTCCGACTCTTCTGTGACCTCATGGGCTGTCCATGGGATTTCCCAGGCAAGAATACTGGAGTGGGTTGCCATTTCTTTCTCCAGGGGATCTTCCCAGTCCAAGAATCGAACCCACAGCTCCTGCCATGTCTCCTGCATTGCAGGTAAGTTTCTTTACTGCTGAGCCACTTACTCTAATAGCTATGTACATCAATTATGTTATTTAAAAGCTAATAATTAGCTAATTATTAGTTTTACCGACTCAGTCACTGAAACCCATCCAAGACCCTCTCTCTCAAAGAGCTTGCTTTTGTTTGGCTGCCTGTGCTATAGGTACATGGCCTGATTTTATATTCTAGTATCCAACTAAGTCTACCACTTTAATTCATGTTAAATATCCAGAGTAATGAACCACTTAGAAAAATGTTCATATAAAATTTGACAGTGGATGCTCTGTCTGGAATAAATCACAAATTAACTGACAAGCATCTCTGTCCTCTGTGATCTTTGCTTTACCACCAGAGAGAAACAAGACTTACAGTTTTGTCCCCCTAAGAACTTCATCACTGTACACACTGGGGATTTTTAGTCTCTGGGAGTCTGAGGTAAGAGAAGGCAGCCTCCTGTGTGCCAGCGTTTTCTTTGCGGAGGTCTGTGGTCCACGAGCATCCGTGATCCGGGCCAGACGGTTTGGGGCTGAGGAAACAACAGTGGATCCTACACCCAGTGGTTTGTCCTCCTGCTCACTCCTGGGGGAGAGAAAGCAACTTAATTAATCAGGTGTAAGCTCTGCGAGAACAAGGCACTTACATATTTGTCCTTTACCAGACTCTATCTAGAGCCTGGCATGCAGAACATAGTCCCATTTGTTCAATGAATGAACAGACTAACATTTCCACTTCAATTTTAATTTCAACAAAGGATCATCAACAGGGAAAAAAAGATCTAAGTTTCTTCTTGTTTGCATGAAACCATATAGCCCACAAGATGCAGAATTCACAGCTACAGTCCCCTTTTCATGTCAGCCCCAAGCTAACAGAAATTGTTTTGTGGCTGATATCAGAACATCGTCCTTTTACACATTGACTGCATGTGGTATTTAGTGCTAGAATGCATCCAGCACAGGGAAGAGGATGGGTCACTATTTTTTATACGCACTGTGTTCTATCTGCAAAATAAGTAGGTCTCTGCTGAAGTGGTTTTGCTTGAATTGTCATCACACCATTCAAGTCACTATAAAAATTGTTGGAGAAACGATGTATCTGGGGAAAGTAAACACAATAAAAATTAAAAAGTATCCAGGGTCACTGCAATTACTGTCGCCTGTCAGGAACCTACGGGAAAAAAAGGACACCTTCAAACTGGCTAATTGGAGGGGCATTTAATAAAGGGACTCTATTTTCTAAAAACATGTAAAGAGAAATTAATAAAGAATGACTGAATTTCTGAATAGTCCCCAGTTGCTCAGCAGTAAAGAATCCTCCTGCAAGGCAGGAGATGCAGGTTCTATTCCTGGTTTAGGAAGATCCTCTGAAGAAGAGAATGGCAACCCACACCAGTATTCTTGTCTGGAGAATCCCATGGACAGAGGAATCTGGCAGGCTCCAGTCCAAGGCGTAACAAAGAGTCAGACACAACTGAGTGACTGACACTCACTCAGTCTTTACATTGGTGATAACAAGTGCTACTTCATAGAGTTATTAGGAGAATTCAATTTGATAACCTTGGTGAAAGCGTGAAGTAAAGGCTAAATTATTACTAATCTCATATCTGGCCTGTAATACAACCAGTAAGATTTAAAATAATACTTAGTTTCAGGCAAACAGGGTTTCTGCAACTAGAATTCTAATTCCAGAAAAATGTGGCAACCTAATCCCATATTCCTCATATCAAATACATATAAAAATAAATGTCAGAGGCATAAATTAAGACCTATTGTGATTACCACAAAATGTTTTGCCTATTTCAGAATAAACTCTACTAGTATTTTATTTTTACTTTTAACATTGTTGCCCATTCACTTTCTTTTACATTTATCCAAATCAAAACCGCTGTAAAAAACATTTTTAAAAACCATAAAAAGCCATAAGTACAACAAAATATCTGTTTAAAAAATTCCTTTGATTTGAAAATTTCCATATTTCTCAAGTATATTTATGTTGCCTGAGAGTTAAAGCTTCTCTTCTATGTTGTCATAACTATTCATTTGTATGTGATTCACATTTCATATTTTAATATGAAAAGTGGGAAAATATTCTTGAGCCTGTCAGCAATTTAAAGAGACCAAAAAAGTACATTAAGCTGGTAGCAATTTCAAAAGTTTCTTTGGAACAACACAAGCAAAGACTAAGTGGAAAGCCCTGGACTGGAGAGTAAATTCTATTAGTTATTTCTGGTTTTAATCCACGGCTCCCTGAACCTCACGCCCTATTGCTCCTATGCTAGGTGCATATTTTTGCCTTTGCTTTGTCATCCTCCAAAGTTGTAGTCTATATCTAAACTACAACTGTCATCTACTCTAAACATATCTACTAGATTGCCTCTTCGTGTGTGTGTGTGTGTGTGTGTGTGTGTGTGTCTGTCTGTGTGTGTGTGTGCGTGCATGCGCATGCTATACTCTTTGTCATGGCTTGACTCCCTCCAACTAACGTGTAAGAACCAGGAATTTCGTCTTCCCTTTTGTCTGCTTCCCCACACCAGATGGGCTGTGCAAACAAAGTCCAAACTCCTTAGCCCTCCCGAAGGCCTTCCATGAACAAGTGCATCCTTTCCAGCCTCACTTTCCACTAGATCTTTGAATAGGGACATCATTCAAGAAAACTGTACTGAGTTCCCAGTACATGTTTGTATGATTCTGTGCTCACAGCAACCCCTTGCACAACATGTGACTGTCCTCATTCTACAGATAAAGAAACTGAAGTTTAGAAAAGTTGAACAACAGGTCCAAGATAATCCTCCTTACGGGTCTCAATTCCCAATGCCATGTCCTGCCACAGTACATTAAGCCCACATTCTCTTACAACCCTTCTTTTGCACATCTCTTAGAGAAGACACTGCATCCGACCTGTATCATACTCTTCACTTGACTAGTTCAGAGAATATGCTGTGATCATCTCTGTATGTCCCTAAAACACCTAATGCAGTTGGTGTGTGGGTGCTCAGTTGTGTCTGACCCTTTGCAACCCCATGGACTGTAGCCCACCAGGCTCCTCTGTCCATGGAATTTCTCAGCCAAGAACACTAGAGTGGGTTGCCATTTCCTATGCCAGAGGATCTTCCTGACCCAGGGACTGAATCTGAGTCTCCTGCATTGGCAGGCAGATTCTTTACCACTGAGCCACCTAAGAAGCTCCAATATAGTTCACTTAATACAAACTCAATAAATGCTGAATGAACTCAATGCATACTCATTGATCGAGTCTTTTATTGCTTTGGTGGGGGGGAAGGAGAACATCTGTAACCTTCAACCTGTCTAGAAATACTGGGGAAAGCATTTTTTCTCTTCAAAAATTGTGGTATCAGTTTCTACCACTCCAAACGGCTGGAAAGTCTCAAATGTGAGTTTCCCTATTCTATCAAACAATCTGGTGATTCTATTAAACTTCATTTGAGTGTCCCTGTTCTATCAAACAATCTGGCAATTCTATTAAACTTCATAAAATATTTTAAAATTTTGGTCTTATTGGCCAATACACCCAAATATCTTGATAACAGAATTTAACACTGGACACTGTCACTCTGGACAAACTGAGGCCAGATATATAAAGACTGAAAGAGAGAGTGAGAGATAAAACACCTACCTGAGGTGGGTTAAGATGAGAAGCCAGGGATATACTTCGAGTTTCTGAACTTCTGGATGGCGGAACACTGGACACATCAGCGTTAATACGGGAAATGACTGCGGGTGGAGATTTATTCTCAGCTACTTTCAATTTTTCTTTCTGTTTTTTTCCTTCTGTGCCAAAGAAAAACCAATATTATTAAGAAACATTATCTAATACTGTATATGTACTTAAAATTCACTGTTCAGAGAGAGTATTTCTTCTTGAGATACCTTGAGTCTGCAGTGGCCACTGAACCTTAAAGAGGACAGACCCCACAGAGTAATGGGCTTTGATACTTCTCCAAGAGTATCTAATGAAATGCCTATCCTTTCAGGGGTAGGTAAGAAAAAAAAATCAGAATTATACACTGGGGCAAGAATGATTCTTGGTATTTTATAATATCCCAATTGATCCCTCTGACCACAAAAAGTAATATTTAATTAATATGATTATTATACTATTGTGAAAATTGATTAACAAAAGTCATTACTTTCCACCACTGACATTTCTATCATTTGTTTCTGCTCAGTTTCGAGTAGAGAACATTTTATAGAGGTAAATGAAGTGATCAATAAATTAGCTTTGTTGACCTTTTATTTTATAAATAATGTCATCTAGAATTAAAAACCAATATTCCATTACTAGAGATTAGTTAGGTAATTTTTTTAAATCAGAATTTAAAAAGTGACTTCTAGCTTCTCTCTAATGTATTTCTGTATTTTTTCAGGAATACCTCGGTCTTATTTTTATAGCTCAAAACATGAGAATGTCCTCTCTGAGGTGATTAAAGGTTACCTGTGAATAAAGGCAGAGACCCACTCCCTTCTCACCCCAGTCATGTCCTAGATTTGGCCAAGTCAAGCAAGTGGGTCAGAAAGCTGAGGAGCACGGGTTACTTTTTCTTTTCAATACATCACATTCTACAAATTAAGTACCTGTAAGGGTAAGTTCCCAGTTTTTTCTGGTCAGCTTTTCCAACACCTCCACCACATTCGTCCAGACGTGGTCAAACACTTCGGCTGCCACCGCGTCTCTGATACAGGCGTGCGGCGACACGGGAGGAAGTCCGCGCTTATGCCACGTCCCGCGACGACGAGCTGGTTTTTGTTCGAGACAGTCCTCGTCACTAAGGACAAAACCCATTCTCATCACTAAGCTATCAATGGTTGAGGTTAAAAGAATGCTACTCCTCTATCTATCCGACACACATGCATATATGTATACTGTGTGTATATAAACAAACAGCATTTTTTTAGTACCAATTTTTAATCAGGAGGCAAATTTTCATTATACAACACCAGTAGCTTTTGTCTAAGAATCAGATACGCATTTAGAGCAGAGACTGGACCTAGACCTTTTCCCCTCTGCTCTCCTGGGCAGCCGGATACAGAAACCCTGGAGGACAAAGGCCAGTAGGAGCCTTTCCACTTTCAACAACGCGCTAAACGCAATTCTTGTTTACTGTCGGTGCCACTTTGTCAGAAAGAGAAACACTGCTCTAACATATCTATATCCTGCCAGGAATTGAAAACCTTTGGGGAGCACAGGACTCTCAAAAGAATGGAAAATCTTTCGGATAAGTGAAAAATGCACAAAACACTGAATGAGCCTATAATCAACATACATGCTCAATAAATGCTATTGCATTAAGTCAATGTTGGATAAAATTCTATTTACTCTTGTTTTCTGTCAAAAGCAAAATACTCTTCAATCTTTCCATCCACATCAAAAACCTCTTCTTCCAGAGAGGAACGTGCCATGAGGTCCACAGCCCTGGTATCATCAGGACCCAGCAGCCAGGGCGCTGAGAGCACAGCCGGGATTATCTGCGAGCCAGAGATGCACAGCCTGTGGGGAAAGGTAGATTCTCCATGAGGGTCAACAATACAATGTTTACATGATCAGGGTGGGCCTTTAGATTAGCCATAAAGCCACAGATTTCCAAATTTTAAAAAGCACTAGACATTACATTTGACAAAAGTCATATGCTTAAAATCAACATTTTAAGCCAGGCATCATTAAAATTTTTAAGGGCTTCTTAAAAGTCTAAATTATTCTACAAGTTTGTGTCTTCTTTGCAATGATGAAGGAGCATCATGGCATAGTCGCTAAGATGTGTAAATGGCATAAGGGATGATTTACCAAAATCTGTTCATGAGCAAAAGAACACAGAATAGAGCTTTATTTCTTCTGCTACTGTCTTGAGGCTTAGTATCCATCACCATGAGGCAGTTTTTGCCTCTCAGGGTATTTGAAACAACAGTTTAAACGTTAACCATCTTGATATTTGTATTACATGCACACAGCATCATCAGTTTAGAATCAGAAGTAATTTGGGTGAAAAAAAAATTGCTCTGTACTTGCCCTTTATTGAAATCTAAATTTCTAAGTTGGTGAAGCCAAGGATCACGGCTGAGATAGACATGAAAAAGTATAACTAAAATGCATTTGGAAATACTTTTTAGGGCTTCCCACATGGCGCAGTGGCAAAGAACCCACCTGCCAATGCAGGAGACACAGGAGACTCGGGTTCCATCCCTGGATCAGGAAGGTCCCCTGGAGGAGGAAATGGCAACTCTCTCCAGTGTTCTTGCCTGGAGAATCCCATGGACAGAGGAGCCTGGTGGGCTGCAGTCACGGGGTCACAAAGAGTCAGACGTGACTGAGCATGAGCACATCTGCTCATAATAGTGGATGGATGTGTGTGTGTCTGCTAAGTTGCTTCAATCATGGCTACTGGGGTTCCCCCGGGAGCTTAGCAGTGAAAAATCCACCTGCAATGCAGGAGCCACAGGAGATGTGGTTCAATCCCTGGGTCGGGAAGATCCCTTGGAGGAGGGCATGGCTACCCACTCCACTATTCTTGCCTGGAGAATCCCATAGACAGAGAAGCCTGGCAGGCTACAGTTCATAGGGTTGCAAAGAGTCAGACACAACTGAAGCAATTTAGCACATGCACACTCTGGCTATTACTTATTCATTTAAATATATAATTTTAAATATGCTTCCCAGGTGGCTTAGTTGGTAAACAATCTGCCTGCAATGCAGGAGACCTGGATTCGATACTTGGGTCAGGAAGATCCCTTGGAGAAGGAAATGGCAACCCACTCCAGTATTGCCTTGAGAATTCCATGGACAGAGGAGCCTGGTGGGCTATGGTCCATGGGATCACAAAGAGTCAGATATGACTGAGCGACTAACACTTTCACACTTCCACTTTCAAAAGTAACTTCTAGCAACATACTCTCTGATGTTGCTGCTGTGTCCACAGTCACCAGGGCAGGGTCCGTGGATGGCAGAAGCAGGCCCGCTGCTCTGGAAATGCTCAACTCCTTCATCAGCGGGCGGGATGAGCTGTCTCCCTAATACTCTGAAAATGGGGGGAAAAGAAAAGGAAACTAATATTTTTTATTGGGAAGGGGAAGATGTTTTGAAGCTGTTTTGAAGGTATGAAGCGATAAGGTAAATACTGGTACATGAGCAGTGCAACGGGATCACAGGAAACGTAGGGGCTTTGAGGGGGGGGACATGCTCCACTGTTCTGCCACTGATGGAGAGTCCTGAGCCAAAGTTTGCAGGCTCCCTGAGCCACTGACTTCATCTGTTCCATTCTGAATGCAAAGTAGAGTAATAGTTCCCTTGTAGGATTAACAAGTAGCTTAGAGACAGTATAGCTGTCTAGCTTAGAGACAGTATCACATTCAGACAACTAGGGTAATGCTAGGCACACAGAAACTCCCTATAAATGTTAACCGATACTTACGCAACAAAGGAAAATAATGTGAATATATGTACGTGGTTTACGGTCCTTGCCATCTTTTCTTTTCTCTATCCTCTCTCTTCCTTCATTTTTATCTTAAGTATGTAAGACAACACTGAACGAAACAGATTTGAGCTCCTGGGTTTAGGCAAGTGTACCATGATGCCTAGGATAGTCCATGCACATTGTTAACATCTAGTGGACACTAAGGCAGGGGCTCACAATGGCCTGGAGACGAAAAATTAAACCTACCGAGTAATGATTTTTAAAAATCTTAGTCAAGTCAGGATTTTTAAAAATCTTAGTTACTTAGTTAAGATAATCAGAAGATTTATCAACATGTGTATGGAAGTTCTAATGTAGCCTCCCCAGATATAACCCAAAGGAACTTCAGAAAACTGACATGGATTTTTTTTTTTTACCATCTAAGTAGGTTTGGCTGAGTAATTGAAGGAAGACTATCTTCCCTCTTTACTCAATCTATATCCTTCGTCTTTGATATTAAAAAGAAATAGATGACCTTCTCCTACATAAGGGATCTGGATGAGACAGTCAGATTCATCCATGCCGTCACCCAGCAAATAATCTCTCTGTTCCTGCCTAGACCTCGCCCCACGTGTTGCTCACAAGGGTGGACAGACACAGCTGCTCTCAGGCTAGGGAGTGGGAAAGCAAGGATAACTCCCTCCCTTCTTCCATTCTTGCATCTGTGATGCATGCAATGCCTTTCTGAGCATGAGCTCCATTTGCTTCTCACAAATTAAAGTACACTTGGAAGGTCTCCAGATTTCCTCAGACACCATCATTTCAAAGGGAGTGATTTCTCAGTACAGCACATGTGTTCCGGGCACATATTTTGACCAGCACTTTCACTCAAAATATACCAACGTATTGAACAGGTCAACAGGCAGCAGTTCCCAACCCCCTTCTGGAAAATTGCTTCGACCAAACTCCTCACCTCAGATGCAGGGACCTGCCCGCCCATTCACGGCACTCAGCCTGGAGATTCTGGGTCTGAGGGCTTACTTTCCCTTCAAACAACATTTCCTCGACCTCCCAGAACAACTGCTGCACTTTCTGTGCACTGGCTTTGTCAAACTCCTAAAATATAGAAATGCACATTTACTTACAGGACTAGAAATTGTCAATAAGAGCTTCAGAATCAATGATACTCACAAATTTATATAGGAGAGAGTGTGACTGGATCAAAACCAGACATAGCAGGGCTCCAATTTTTACTCTTCTGAAAAATTACATCCCAACTGAGAGTTTCTTTAACCATTAAATAGAGATAATCTCTACTATGAGAAAGTCTCATAATCCAAGATTTTACATAAACATAGATACAGCTATGAATATACACAGTGACATAGACATTGATAATGATAAAAATACACACACCATATATCCAAGCACATACACATGCACATATGTGTCTACACAGACATGTGTCCCTCATATAGTTGTGCATTGGACACCTAATTACATTTGCAAATTACAATCTTTTTCTAATTAAAAGGAATATTATTTCATGGAAAGGATCATTCACTTTCTTTTAATCAAGGAAAACAGAAACACGAACAAACAAAAAACCACCTTAGGTATACTAAAAGATGTGGTTATTAGGATGAGACCAGAGTATTCATTTTTCCTGTCTGGCCTTAAGAGATTCTTGGGCTGTAAGCGCAGTGAACTGTCAGTGAGAAAACCCTTCAGTTTTTCTGTATATTAGAAATGATTGAGAAGTAACAGACCTAGCGCCCTTACAGTCAGTGAGGAAAACATGAACAGAAGTACAATTGGAAGAACCAATTATTGGCTTACAGGGCAAGGGCTTTAGTTCGGTCCGTTTTCTCCCAGGGCGGGTGTGTGAACTTGAAATCTAACCCATAAATTCAGCCTGACATACCTGATCCAAAACGGTCAATTCAGGCTGATTTTCACAGACTGCTATTCCATATTTTCCATGTTACTTCTTTCCCTTAGTTGGTAAGAAAACTAGATTCCCAGACTGCAGGGCAGCTGAATTACCTCTTACAAAATGCAAATAAGGAGAAAACTCAGAAGAATATTTGGCTGGGGTGTGAAGAGGGCTTATTTTCATTTTTCTCTCCTTTGTATTTTGTTGCTTTTACAAATATTACCTACCGAAAAGTAAATAAACGTTTTTAAATTCAAAGCAAAACAATGTTTAGGGACTGGATTAATTTAAACTCTATAAATGGAAGTCATAAGACTCTCTTTGGATAATTATTTGAAACTGGTAGGAAAGGAACCCAGCATTTGGACAGTGATGCTTCATAAAGCAATGGATCTCAGACTTCTTCCCATCTGCACTCTTTTGACCAAAGAGTGTGGGTGGGAGTGGGCTGGTGTGGACATGGGGGTGGGGGCAGTTTATCCCAGTGACAGACTCACACCTCCTCCAAAAAGTGCCCCAGTGATTCAGGGCTGACTCCCTTTCAGCCGCCCCCCTCAACCCCTGCCCTGCACCCCACAACCCTCTCCCTTTGGCCCCTTTGGAGAATCACTGCTATAAAACCATGTAACACCATCCTTGGGGAGCGGACCCACCTGCACAGTCCAGGGCGGAGAGCTGCTTTTAAAGAAAGCAAAGAAATCCAGAACACAAACAAGAAAACAGCAGGACTTAGACCATCCAAGGAGCTAGTCTGGGCTCTTCCGTGGCCACAGGAGCATCACAAAAGCCTGTGTTCTGGAATTCTCAGACTCTTGAGGGGATGAAGGGGTCAGAAACTGCACAATCACATGATTTGAATGGTAAACTTGGGCAGAATGCTAAAGTCCCACCCAGCTCAGTTCTGCTAGGATCAGATGTAAAATATCTGACTTAGAATATTCAGGTAGAATTCCCTAATCATGATTTTTTTTTTTAAACAACTTTTATTTTTCCCCAATTTTTCTCTTATTCAAGTTCCTAATTGTCAGAATCTCTCCTGAATTTCCAACCACAGATATTTATGCAAGAAATCATATATACCAACCTGATGGGGGGTTTGGAGGTGGGAAAAACAGAACTATTAACAGCTAAGATGCTGCATTGTTTGGTTATAGGAGCTTTGATTTTTTTCTTAAGAGTGTCTGTATTTTCAGTTTTACGTGTGACATGTCAGTGCTTTTATATTTATGTGTATGTATGGGTGGATCAGGTAATGCTTTTAATTTGGTAAAAACTTAAAAAAAATAAGAAAGTAGATCATCATTATGAATTGTAACCATGAGATTTTCTAAAATTTTGTGAGACATACATCATCTCTCCAGGAGTAAATGGAACTCCTCTCTGTAGATAAACCAGTGGTTGAACTCTGTGTCCCAGACCCATACCAGGAGTTGGGGGCTTCTGTAGGCGTGGGGCTCCCACTTGATGAAAATGATGACCCAGATTCCCTGCAGGAAGAAATGTAAGAAACATAAATGACAGTTACTGGAAACAGGTTTTGCTGGGAAGCGGCTTCACCTCTCTGAGCTTACTTCCTCTTATTTTCTTTAAATATACTGGTTAATTTTCACAGTACACTGATTTTAAAAGATTTATGCAGTGTAACATTTCACTTGGCTAAAAATAAAGCTTTTTTTTTTTTTTTTAAACCTTGTAGACATCCATGGCCCATCAGTGATTCTGTTTCCCATATTCATTCAGGCAAGTTTTGATTCTGTGATCAGAAGCATTTAAAAGGCTAATGGCTAATTCTTACCGGCTATATTTAGCAATGGCTTTCTGTACATTTTTTGTAAAATGGGTAGGTAAAGGATCTTTGCTTTTCACAGCAAAATTCTGCTTTCCAGATCCTTAATGAACTGGATTTCAGGTCCCATGTATTCCTTGACCCCAGGTGCCCTTGGGCTTGCAAAAGTCAACCAGTCTTGCATCAAAAAAAAAAAAAAAAAAGATAGTTTTAAAATATTAAAAGTAATGGAAAACTAAAACAGAAGAAATCTCTCAATTTTAAATATGGCATTAAACCTGGCTGGTGTAGCCAAGTTAGTGTTAATCATTAAAATGTCCTTTCAATGAACCTCTTAAAACATTTACTTCCCTCTAATCAAAATACCTTTCTAACAGTAAACTACTTCTTTTATCAAAGTCATATTTTCCCACATGTTTTATATTAACTTTAGATATGGTAGTTATTTGAGGGAAAAAGACAACTTTCAATATTTCTAACAGAGACGCCACTCTAGCATTCATTTAAAAATCTGCTTTTCAAATAAATGGTATGTAATTTTCAACACTTGTGTTTCTGAATGTAAATGGAGTTTTAAAAAATATTAATATGAGGATCAGTTTTGCCCTTTGTTATGTACTAAAGAACTCTACAACAAAGAGAATTTTTAACAAGTTCATTATGGTTACTTTTAATTACTATTACTATTACTATTACTTTGTGTAGTTATTACTACCCAAAAGTGAGCAATCATATATATATTTACAAAGGAGAATAACAGAATTATAGGATTTTTCTCCTCCCTTTATTGTTTAATAGTCATAAGTATAAGCAAGCAATCCTAAGAATAAAACTGTTAAAGAAAGTGTAATGGAGAAAAGAATATAGACAAGCTTTTATGCTAATACACTGCCTTACCTCTAGCCCTATCCAGTCATTTCCACATGACTCTGTAACTCTAGATAAACATAAAAATACTTATGACATGAGACAATAAAAAATTATATCAAATAGATCTGTATTGAGTGTTATAAAATATATACTCATTTATAAGCTAAATTTGCTTGTTATTGAGAAAGAATTTTAAATACCAGGGTGGTATATTAGATAAAATATTATTCTTTGGTAATATCTATAGAATAATAGCATGGGTTAGAATCTTGCCCTGTCACTGACAAGACTGTGTGCTTGACCAAGTTATTTCTCCAGTTGTTGAGAGACTTAAATTACATGAAGGTGTGAAGTGTCAACATAATCAGGCCAGATAAATCACTACTTTGTCGGCATATGCCACTCGATGAAAACACCATGTTCTTATTTTATTTCACTTCTCTCAGCAATTCCTATTATACATCTGTCTTGGTACTTTAGTTTTTTTTAAAAATATTTATATTTATTTATTTGGCTGCACAAGGTCTTAGTTGCAGCACGTGGGATCTTTAGTTGAGGCATGTGAACTCTTTAAATTGAGGCATGTGGGATCTAATTCCCCAACCAGGGATCGAACCCAGCCCCTAGCACTGGAGGCGTGGAGTCTTAGCCACTGGACTACCAGAGAAGTCCCTACTTAAGGTTTTTATTGGGATGATCCTGATACTTTATTAATATTTTCCATCTATAGCACCTAAAATACTGCCTTTCACTTAGAGATGCTGTTTACTGAAAGGATCCCTAGTTAGATATTAAATTACTACCTCAAATGAGCATGCTTTGGCCCTCTAATCACTCTGAATGTTTCTGTTTAATACAAAATGAAAGTATCCTCCACATCCAAGATATTGCTGGAGAATTCTTTATCCTTTATAAAGAAAGAAGATTCACAGTTCTTAGCATAGCTGCTATCTCCAAAAATGACTATTTATGGAGCACCTAATCCACTCAAGTCCACCTTTCTAATTTTGAGCTCTTTCTCTGCGTTGTCTGCAATTGAAAGTTAAATTCACTAATCAGACTCATGCCAGTTTGCTTTGTTTTCAATGAACAGTAATTTCTTCTTTCAAAACACTCACCCTTTTTCTAAGGGAGCAAGGGGGTATCTTTTCAAACTAAGAAGAAAGCTGTTTACAAATTGAAGAAGGAATCCCTCTCTTCAGTTTGGTTCAGTTCAGTCGTGTCCAACTCTTTGGGATCCCATGAACTGCAGCACGCCAGGCCTCCCTGTCCATCACCAGCTCCCAGAGTCCACCCAAACCCATGTCCATTAAGTCGGTGATGCCATCCAACCATCTCATCCTCTGTCGTCCCCTTTTCCTTCTGCCCTCAATCTTTCCCAGCATCAGGGTCTTTTCCAATGAGTCAGCTCTTCGCATCAGGTGGCCAAAGTATTGGAGTTTCAGCTTCAGCATCAGTCCTTCCAATGAACATTCAGGACTGATCTCCTTTAGGTTGGACTGGTTGGATCTCCTTGCAGTCCAAGGGACTCTCAAGAGTCTTCTCCAACACCACAGTTCAAAAGCATCAATTCTTTGGCACTCAGCTTTCTTTATAGCCCAACTCTCACATCCATACATGACCACTGGAAAAACCATAGTCTTGACTAGATGGACCTTTTTTGACAAAGTAATGTCTCTACTTTTTAATATGCTGTCTAGGTTGGTCATAACTTTCCTTCCAAGGAGTAAGCGTCTTTTAATTTCATGACTGCAATCACCATCTGCAGTGATTTTTGAGCCCAGAAAAATAAAGTCTGACACTGTTTCCACTGTTTCACCATCTATTTGCCATGAAGTAACAGGACCCTTTCTTCACATCACACCCTTTTCTTGCTCAGATCAGCATTCCTACTCACCTCAAAGAGTAGCTGAGGACAGAAGGACTGAAAGATGCAGGGTTGCTGGGAGGGGACAGGTAGCTGGAAAACTGATGCCTGAAAATGCTAGCTATCTCCACACCATTTCCCCAACTCGTCTCTCCTCACCTCTTCCCTGCCTCATCTTCTCTGAAATCCCTGTATTTCTGTGGGACATCTTAAGCATCAGAGTTCAGTTGAACAGCAAATACATTTGACCACAAAGTTCAGAGGAATTTGAGCCCAGCACACTAATGACTGCTCAGAGCCATGAAGAAGACAGCGTTGGAGCCGGTCCCGGGACCCAGGCCATCGAATCTGCACGTGTCTCCAGGAACCACAAGTTACTGAAACAGTGAATGAAGGATAAAGCCTATAAAACTGGCCATGTTTCTTTTTACAGTTTATTTTGAATGATGTGGTTTCTCTGTCCTCTAACCATGTAGTGTAATTATATCAGACATAATATTGAGCATCTTTAATATCCTGTAAACTGTCAACTCCTCCGTCATCTAGAGAGTCCAGGAAAGTATACACAACTTAAAGTATGTCTTATAAGTATCTTAAAACTTTAAAGCAGTGAGATGTCTAGTAAGCTTGCATTACATGATAGACATATAAGAGTTTTACACTAGTTCCTGTCCATTCTGTTTAAATTTTAGAAATAATAAAATGCTGCTAGTTGGTACATTTAAGGCTGTTGATCTGGTCACAGGATCTGGGTCTTAGGGCAGACTGAAGAGCAACCACTGAACTCTATTGCACTAATTGGTTGCTATATGAAAGTTAAATTAAGGCTAAGGTTTGGGAAGATCCCTTGGAGAAGGGCATAGAAACCCACTCCAGGATTCTTGCCTGGAGAATCTCAAGGACAGAGGAGCCTGGTTGGCTACAATTCACCAAGTTGCAAAGAGTCGGACACAACTTCAGTGACTTAGCATGCACATGCACTCTATCTCCTTGA